CTCAGGCGGGTGCTGGCCCGCCTCTTCTTCCCCAGGTTCCTGCCCACTGCCCCGTCCTGCCACGCCACCCGGGTCCTCCCTGGCCACCCCTCGAGGAAACAGAGCCGAGACCACGACTTCCCTTTAAAAGAGGAGGTTCGGAGGTTCAGGCAGGAAGTGGCTGGGCTGAGACGCGAGTGGGCCAGCCACCTGGCTTCGAGGGACGTTCTGCGTGTCTGTCACCTGCTCTGGCTGTTTCCACTGAGTCACTGGCAGGTCCTGGCGAGGGGGGAGGACAGTTAAGGCGCATCCTCGCCCTCAGGCTGGGCCGCTGCGGGACGGGACTTCCTCTGTTTCTGGGCGCCTGGGCCTCAAGGACGGCGCAGGGGTAGGAACACGTGTCCACGCACGGCGTCAACTAGAAAGTCTCGCTGACTTCCCCGCCGGGGGAGGTGGCTTCCCGGGCCAGGCCCCGCCCCTGAGCGGCAGCCAACGTTCTTTCCATTGACAAGATCGCGATAATAATTTTTAGAAAGAGAAGCCGCTCTTCGCAGGAAGGGGGTGGGGGCAGGGCAAGCAGTCGGCCAGGGCGGAGGGAGGGGGAGCTGGGTCCGGGCGCCAGGGGCGCGGTCAGGCTTCTGGGACCCAGAAGCGGGGTTGTCAGAGGAGGGGACCCGGGGAGTGACTGCTCCGCTCCCCACGTGCCAGGCCGCAGCCCGAAGGCCCTCGTGCCCTGCGCCTTTGCCGGGAAGGCCGGCTGGGCCGAGGGGTCTGGCCCTCCTGGGCTGGAAGGACACCTTTCCTGTTTCATGTCTCGTCTATAAATAGTGAAAGGATGTGGCTGTTTGCAAAGGTGATTGGGCGTCTCGATTGCTTTCCTCAATAATGGGCATAGGAGCGCCGCAGACAGCCGCTCCGACGGCACCATAAAACCCCTGGTGGGCGTGCTGTGCAGCGGCCTCCCGCCTCTCCAGGTGGTGGCTGGCTCTGCCCTTTAATATGCCCAGTTTACAGGTGGGAACACCGAGGCCAGCTTGGGAGCCCCTGCCTGCCTGGGCAGGCCTGTCCCGAACGTCCCGCCTTCCCGGAGGCTTTAACGAGCGGCTGGCCCGGGGCGTCCTGGCTGTGGGTCAGGATGTGTTTGGTCCTGAAGGTTCCTGGCAAGGCGGAGGCTTGGCTGTCTCTAGGGGCCACCTGGAGGGTCTAGACGACGCGAGGCCAGCCTGGCTCTGGTTTGCTGTGCCCCCCTCGGACCCGCGTCTCCTCCCGGGGCCTCAGCTTCCTCCTCTGAGTGCAGGGCTTGGGCTAGGTGGCCCCGAAGCTCCCTTCCGGCTGCATCCCGGCAGGGCCCCGGGATGGACCTGCAGTGCCCGGGTGGCGGTGGGCAGCGCTGTGGGGGCAGAGGTGCCGTGAGTCAGGCCTGGCCAGGTGGCGAGGCAGGTTCTGCCGGTCTGGGGCCAGCCCTGTACTCTGTTCTCACCACCTGGCCTGCTGGTGGGACGCACCTGCTGGAAGCAGGCATGATTGGCAGGCACCCTGGGGGAGGGCGGGCCAGGGGAGCGGTGCCCTTTCCTGAAGTCCCCTTCTCCTCCTGGCACCCCCCGCCCCGGGCCGGGCCCCGCCCGTCCTCACGACTGGATGTGGGGGACAAGGGAGATGCTCACAGTGTCTTGGGGTAAAGTACACATATACATTTTGCCGTTTTAGCTGCTTGCAGTGTACCATTCAGTGGCCGTTTAGTATGTTCACAGGGGTGTGCAGCCATCACCATTGCCTAGTTAGTTCCAGAACTTTCTTTATGCCAGACAGACCTTGTGCCCACTAGGCAGGCACTCCCACCTCCCGCCACCCCCCCACCCCCGGCTCCTGGCCCCTGGCCCCTGGCAAGCATTCCTGCTTTCCCCCCGGGTGCGGGTTCTGGACGGTTCTCTGGGTGGCTCACCCTCGCAGCAGCTAGAGCGGGGTCAGGGCTTCGCTCCTGCCCGCCTGTACCCGCCCGAGAGCGGCAGGTAGGGGACGGCATCGAGGCCTGTGCCGGCTTGGACGCGAGTCCAGGGGAGGCGGGCGGTGGGGGTGGC